GTAGATTCATTGTGTAATTTTATACTGATAATTTTTTTTTAAATAATAATTCATATAGTATTGATAATTTGTAAATAAAGAGAGTAATATATAGTTAAAGGTATATATTAAGTTAATACGAAAACAATTATATCATTAAACCATGATTTTTTCTTACCTTCAATCAATATTAAGGAAATGGATTAAATGATTTATGTAGCAATGAGGAATTGAGGATTGTATACCTTGTACATTTGTACCTTCCCAAAATGGAGTTCATTTGGCAATGCGCATAATAAAATCAAGCATTGGTCGATACTCCGTACTATTTATGTTTAATTTAAGATTAATAATTTAACTTTTAGGCTAGTTATATACCTAAAAGAAAAAAAATACTCCATAGGAAATTGATTTTAGCATATTTGTTTTATTGATTTTTGTAAACGGATGATTTTGACCATATTCACCACGAGTGTCCACTATATAAGTCCAAGTGTTTCACCTCAAAATAAACCATATGGCAATGAGGGAAGCAACCCCTTAACCTTATAAATTGAATGCAATTTCTTTACTTTTTTATAAAAATGTGAGATACAATTCTAATATTCCTCTTCATTTTCACATTCTACATATATATATATCGGGTGTGTCAACTTAATATTGGTGTGCCAAAATCAGTTTCATAAACCATAACTATGTGATAGATCGTTAAATTTGTCTACAGAGTGTATTTGTGTGTAAAAAAAAAAACCTTGGATTGAATTTTAAATAATTCAAAATAAATTTATAACTTATAGAATTCAAATTAATTAGTGATGTTGTAGCATTCTTATAAAATGAAAGATAAATCTTAACTTTTTTATGTTTTATAATTGTTGCACTGTTTTTAATTTAATTGTTGCACCGTTTTTTAATTAAGAAAATACTTCCTCCGTTTCTTTTTCCTTCAAAACCAAACTATGTCTAGTAAAAAAGTAATAATAAAACTACTTTAAAAGAATAGTATGCCAGAGTAAGCAACTAAACACACATTATTCACATTCACATGTTATTATAATAGGCTTAACAAATAAAGAGATAGGGTAATGAAAGTTGGTTACAAACTTTTAGGTTTGTTTGGTTGATAAACTTGTATTTCTTAAGTGTTAATTAATCATTATTAAAGAAAAAAATAGTAATATAATTTCATATTTAATAAATACTCCAAACTATAAGTATTGGTAATAATTTAGTTGTATACTACTTGTATGTGATTTGTGAAAATAGGTATACAATAATGTTAAATTTGACATTACATCATAATGAATTAATCATTTAAATTATAGTGTAACTACAAGAATTACTAAAGCATTATATTATAGAAGATCCCTCTTTGATTATAAATTAATTCTATAAATCATATAATTAAATTAGATGCGCATAAATTGTTCAACACCATTTTTTTTACAACTTGTTTTATGCCAATTTGGGAGTGCATTAGTTTTGTTAGTAATATAAATAATAACATTTGATTTATACTTAATCATTACAATGTTTAGATAGATTTATGTATACCATGTTTGTACTGACTAGTGTATTTTATCTTTGAAAAAAATTACTCTATAATTTTTTTTTCAAATTTATGTTATTTTTGTAATTTTGCATTTACTAAGAAATTGAATGCATGCTATATATTTAATGTATTTGGTATATCGAAGTAACGTGTAATATTGTATTGATACTATTCAATAAAAATACAAAGTATATTGTAACGTTGATTTATTATGAGTGAGGTCTATTGGTATCGTAGATCAACATATATGTATTTCATCTTATAATTATGTACGAAGTAGTGCCTATTTCAGTTTACGCTATCTTCAAGACGTATCATTGAGATCAAACTTAAGATGAAACTAAATTTCGATGGACATTATATTATGGGATGACTGAAGTAATAACTTATCGATATGACTTATGTTTTGGATATAACGTGTCGTAAAAAAAAAAAAAAAAAACATTTTAAGTTGTTATTCTATAATTGTTGCTATTCAATTTCATTTACTCGTTGTCCTGACAAACTAACACATATTCTTTCGTTGCATTTTTTGTTTTTTTAAGCATGTCAAACTTTTTGTTAAAACCAGGATCAAGATAATGTGCACAAACAGCTAAATCCAATGTAAGAGGCAATTGTTTTTTTTTTTTGTGTGTTTAGAGAGCCATAATGGCGGGGTGAGAATCGATCTCAGGATTTCCTAAAATCGGGAGGGAAGTTCGAACCACTTGAGCTATTCCTCATTCTCATGTAAGAGGCAATTGTTAGAAAATCAAGTGTTTGTATGTCTTTGATGCTAAATAAAAGGAAGTGGTAAAATTGACATTTGATTTGATCCCTAATGTTAATTATCACATCCCAAGATTTAAACTAAACTATTCATCATTCACATTAGTCTCTCCGTATTTTAATAAGTGTTACAGTTCGTTTGACTTTTTTCACTATTTACATAATGGTTTTGAATTGATTAATTTACAAATATATATATATATATAAAAAAAAAACAAATTTTATCATACAATAATACATTTTTTAATTCGTTATAATGTATAATTTTATAATATTAATTTTCTTATAATATTACTAAGGATTTTTTTTGTCAAAACTGCCTAATAAAGCCCAAATTTTGTGAGAAATTACTTAATAAAAAATGTTGTAAAATGCTACCTAATAAAAAGGTAAAATGTTGTAAGAAACTACCTAACAAAATGTTAATTGTTGTAAAATACTACCTCCGTCGAAAATCCACCATTGACCCACCTCAAAGCAGCCTCAAAACCACCGCTTTCACCCTTAAACCAACACAATCTACTTGAATTGCCTTCACCATGCCGAAATCACCGTCCAATCCCAAAACCACCACCTCTAACCCCAAAAATCAACATCCTGGATCACGAAATTAAACCACCCTCACCAACTTGGAATATCTTCTAACCACCCCCAAAAATAACCTTACCATCTTGAAAAGCAACCTCTGTGGTGGTTTCGGTGGTGTTTTGAGGAAGGTTAACGCCTTAAAATTAAATTAACGGTGGAAATTCGGCCAAAATTAGTACCTTACAACATTTTACCTTTTATAAGGTAGTTTCATTTCTGACAAAAAAAACCTATTACTAACACATAACTAGATAAATTAATGGTCAAAATCATATCTCGACATGTATATTTGGTTAAATTGTAACACTTATTAAAACACGGAGGGATTCACTTATTCATTAATAATACAAAAACTTTTGTATACATCCGGTTTACACTAATATTAGTGTACATCGAGCAGTATAAGGGTAAATTTTAGCTAATTTTAGGATAACTTTTTGCCTGTTTTTGGACAACTTTAAACATAATACAATTTTTATATAAATAAACAGCAAGAAAAGTTTTATAAAGGTAATTTAATTACATTCAATCATAATAATTGATTTTTAGTCATTTAAAATGTGATTCTTTACTAATAAAGTGTAGATAATTTTTATTTGAATTGGGTTACTTTTACGCATATTGGGTAACTTTTATTCATTTCAGAGGTAATTTTTAATCACTTTAAGCTATATTTATAATGGATTTACAATAATTATTGCACACCTGATTTTTTTAAATGTTTGTGTTAATAATATTTCATCATATTGCTATACTAACACCAACGAGTACTACTTACGTGTCAGCCCGTCAAGCAAATAACAAGCACTTTAGTCGTAAGCAGATTTAATCTTTGTTATTTCAATAGTTAAGCAATACCAATCCACTAGTAGTTTGACTTGCCACGTAAACTTATCAATTTTTTTTATAATTAGATACGTCATAATGTGAACTACTTAGTAATTTATATCAACCATCCAAAGTTCTCTAATAAGAGGTACAACACTTGCATTTTGAATGATTTAACCTCCACATCAATTAACATAACAATTTATCTTTAAATTGATAAGATCACTTGGGCCCCAATCGAAGGCTTTTATCACAGGAAGTTTAGCTGGCAATACCCTAGAAGAGTAAAGGGATGAGATTTATGTCTGATGAGAAGAGAACCTCGTACCTCAAGGATGCGAGGCAAACTCCGGATCACTGCTCCAAGAGGTCATTTATCTTGCTTGTTTTGGTAATTGTTACACACTCCAATGATCGAAAAAGTTGTTCAATGTAATTAGAGATCTCCAACGTCCAAGCCATATATAACAAGCTAAGTATGCACAATTTAGTTATATTGCTATTTGCTAGTGAGTGACTAGTTGTCTCAATTCTCAAATGTATGTCGTTGTTTAAATCCTTTATCATATGGATATCAGTGAATATAAAAGTTCATAACATAATAAGAATGGAAGTCACATAATTCTTGAATGTTATCAATATCTTATATAATTAACAATATTTCATGTCTTATTGTCTTTGGTATACACTAGAATCAATAACACACTTTCAACTTATTTTTAAAATTATTTGACCACCTCAAGTTCAAGGTCTGTGGAAGGTCATGAAAATAATGTTCATGATAGGTAATCCTAAATTTAGATTATGCAAAATTTGAAATCAATCATTGATTTTAATCACAAAATTGAGCATTAGAGTACAATTTATTAAAGAACAAAAATATCAAATAGCAATTCAAACATGACCCAAACCTCATGTCAAGTAGTGATGGATCTAATATATCTAAGCAATCTCATGCATAGTTTAAAATGTAACACAAATTTAACGTGTACGGAGCACCTAGACATAAAACACAAACACTGAGACATATGTATTAACTTGTTGCTTTGAAAACTCTTTTTTTTTTAAAAAAAAATAATAATGTGTCATATTTTTTCATCATGTTAGTTCAACCATTTGTTAACAATTATAATGTGTTATTTTTTTCATTTATTAATAATTATTTTGTAATAATAAAAATAAAACATTTAGTTTTAGCTAAATATAAACGACTCAAATTTAAATACGAGTTAATAGGGATTATATCGATTGACACATAATCTTATCTCGGTTATACATAACAGCAAGGCAACACAAAAGATTTAAAATCCAAATGTTTACCAAACACCAAACCAAAGGGAGAGAAATAGAATTAAGAATACCTTGATTACTACGACAATCCAACAAACAATCCTTTTGATCACCCCGCAATTCCGTAACCCTTTTCCCTAAAATATAAAATTATCTCCATATAAATAAATAAATAAATAAAAATCAGAACACTATATAAATATCCACAAAACCCTTTTTTCTCTCTTGTTTTTTCTTCTTGATTGCTTTTAAGATTGCGACGTGCTATTAAGAGTTCTTGGTGAAAGAGGTTTTTCAATCCAAAAATCTTCCCTTTTCTTGTTCCGGGTAATTTCAATTGCCAATTTATGATTTTATGGAATTTTATTTTTATAGTTGATTTTCCTTAATATTGTTTGATCGTTTTTTGCAGATATCAATTCTAGCTTATTGAGTGAAGAGATGGCTAAAAGTTCATTCAAATTCGAGCACCCTTTTGGTTTGTTACAATTTCTTGATTTGGGGTTTTAAATATTTGCCCCCTTAAATTTTGGTTTTGTTTGATGTTATTTGTATGTTTGATGATCAAATTTTGTGAAATATTTATCTGGGTTGTTTCTAAATATGAATCTTGGAAGCAATTTTGGTTGTTTCTAAATATTTTGGTGATCAAATAAAGTGAATTTTGCATCTGGGTAGTTTCTATATATGAATGTCGAACCAATTATGCTTGATTAAGTTAATTATTGCAGTAATTTGTATCTTATAATTTGTAATTTGATAAAGGTTTTGCTTGCAAAGTTTAAAGTCTTGTGTTCATAATAATAAAATATAGTGAAGGATATTGATTTGGTTGATGAAATAAGGAAAAGGGGAATTTTGGTTGATCATGTCCTGATTCTTGTACTACGTATTATTTCTTTAGTAAACGTGTTATTGAATAAGACTCCTTCCTTGTATATTTTCACATCGAAACCCAGGTAACTTACTGGAGTGATAATTCTTGTAGTCCTGCTTCAGTTTAATTTGGACCATTGGCTTTCTAAAGTATTGGATATGATCAACAATAAGTATTGCATAAGTTAAGCAATTGAAGTTTTGCTCTTTTCTTGAAGGAATATCCTTAATTCATTGTGAAGGAAACTAAAAGACATTGAATATTTCAATTGGTATTGATGAAGTTACATTGCTAAGCCTAGTCGCAAAAAGAAGATAGATTTTCGGTAAATTTCATCAAATTAAGCATCTTGCTTGTTTGATAAAATGATTTCTCTGTTTTTTCCTGGTTTGTGCAATGTGTTTGTAAGATGCTGTTCTAAATGTGAAATATGTCATGGTTAGATGCCTTGCTTGGAAATTTTTTAGAAAAAAGTTTTTCTAATGTGTATTGAAGGTTGTTGCTTCTTTTAAACCATGTTACAAAAATGTGATTTAGTGTTGTAGGTCTAATTATTCCCATGTTTGGTGTATTGACTTATAGCTTTGTTTTCCATCATGTATCTGTTTTTTTCTTTTCTTTTTTTTTTCCTCCCTGAATAATGTTTATTTGATTGCTAAAGTTGTTGGATGCAAAAGCATTGAAGCTGTTTCTTTTTTTGTTCAGAGAAGAGGCAAGCCGAAGCTTCTCGTATCAGGGAGAAATATCCTGATAGAATTCCTGTAAGACACTTGTATTTGTTAATTAATTCTGATGATGACAGATTGCGTCTTTGATTTTTTTATCAATTGGTTAACCTCGCCTATTTTTCCAATTTATGCAGGTGATTGTGGAGAAGGCTGAGAGGACTGATATCCCTGACATTGATAAGAAAAAGTTAGTCCCATTTCTTGTTATCTGTCTTCAATTTCCAATTTTGAGGCTAAGTAGCATGATATTATGGTGATATTGCACCTGTTGAACTGGTTTCATGGCACATGCGCACTGTTGTCTCGATTTACAGTTTGATATTAATGAAACTTCTCTCATTCGTTTTACATTGACTTGTAATTATCAGTTTATAAAAGTCTGCTAAATTGCAACTACGTCTAACTATTCGTAGATTAACACATCTGAATAATGTTCTTATCATATCATTGATCTAGTGATTTATGTTTGGGATACCTGTTGTAATCTCTTGCAGGTACCTCGTTCCAGCTGATTTGACTGTCGGACAGTTTGTGTATGTGGTGAGGAAGAGAGTGAATCTAAGTCCTGAGAAAGCCATATTCGTATTTGTCAAAAACATTTTACCTCCCACTGGTAAGTTGGAACAATCGGTTAAGGTTGATTGATACCGTACAATTTTAGCAATCTTACATGCCTTTTCATTTTATGGTTTGTAACTTGGTTGTTTGGTTGTGCTACAGCTGCTTTGATGTCAACAATTTATGAGGACAATAAGGATGAAGATGGGTTTCTTTACATGACTTACAGCGGGGAGAATGTGTTTGGATTGAGGTGCATTGGCGACAGCTCTGACTGATGTGCTCGTAAATAATCAAACTTGACATAAACTAGAAATGTAAATCCTCGGTTGCTTATCATACTGCTGTTTTCTTAGAAGCACAATTTGTGTTCCTGACTGTCAGGCTTGACTGTTGATATTATTAACTACGTATTTTAGAGATTCTTTAGATTGAACAGCTTGCTGGTTTATATGTTGTTTTAGTTTGATGCTTTGTCGCTACTTCACGGTCACTGCTGTTCATCTTTTTGCTACAACTTACAAGTCTGTTCTTTTAATGCCATAGCATGGGCGCATCGCGCATGGCTATGCTTCTTGAGTCTATATTGCAAAAGAGATGGGTTCATATTTGAATTTTGTTTATGTTTTTCCCTTTGAACCATTTTAGTAAACCTGTGAATTGTTTGGCTCACCCAATCGATCGGAAAGAACCATAAGCTAACCTTGCTTGTACTTGCCATAAATTATAGTATCAGTCCAACAATCCCTACCTAATGATATTCAAGTATAAAGAATTTATACTGCCTTTAAGTTTGCCATTATTGTGGTACTAATCTTATTGATTATTCGAAGTTGTGTTCTGTGGATGAATGTTAAGTTAGTTTGCAAATGTTTATAACCTTAATTTAAGAAGTAGAATCATCTCCGATATCTAATTTAATAGGAATCACAACATTCTTTAATACTTTGTATGTTATACTACCTCCGGATCGTATTATATGCAACTTTGAAATTTACGATCCGGAGGTAGTATATAGAAGTATAGAAGCGGGAATGGTTTTGAAAATATAACATAGTACAAGTGTAACTGTATTAGGACATTGTTCGGATTAGTTTGGGTCGTATTTGAGTGATTGACCATTTATGCTGGGTTTGGGGTTGTATTATGAAAAATGATCAATATTAGTCACACTAATTTGCAATTCTAAGAACAATTCGCGTTAAGGTTGGTAATCATATATGGATTTTCATGTATTTTGAGCCCTGCAGTTTTCCAGTAACCTTTGAGATGCAGATTGTTCTCCTAACTATCTTATGTACACCAAGTTTTTACACATCAAAAATTTCATTCATAATTAAGCTGATTTCTCACAAAAGGAAAAGAGATTAACAAGCAAAACATTGAGAAATGAAAAAAAAGGAAGCAATTTTGTCATTTAGGAATAGAATCCTTCTTATCAAGTTGTTGCTTTGCCCGCTTGATTCCTACCAATGCCGCGACCTTGGCCCCGAATCCTCCTAGGAAACTCTTCTTCTTCTTCTTGTTCTCCATCTTATCAGTTGGATTTACGTCGTCCATAGCACCAAAGCCTCCTTCACCCCATTGATCAGCCCACGTAGGCGCCTTCGATGCCATACCAACCTATGAGGAGAGATTTGAGGTGTAGTAGTGCTTGCTCTAGCAACAAGAAACTAAGAAGCAAAAATATGGTAAAATGTCTCTTAGAAAAATGGTTTGATTATGCATGTGGTTTGGCTGTTTTATGCTGCTTTCAGTGGACATTAGACAAGCCAACTTACTTTTCTTACATGTACCTTTTCCTTCTTGTTAAGCAAAGTGTTATTGTATGACAACACCTTTATTAATCTTTCTTTCTTATTTGTTGTCCAATCATTCTTCCTCATTTGGAAGTTGTTACAATTATTGGCTAGTTTTATAGATAATTCCTATTTTCTTCTTGATCTTAAATAGCTAATTTAGTTAACATCTTTAAAAAGATAAATCCATTTTAACTACTTTTTGTGCTTATGAGGTAGAGATGGCCATTATAGGCCTTAAAATGGGCTGTCTAGCTATCATAGTGTTCAACCATGTGTTCCGGTCGATCCGTTCGACCCAATTGCCCCTAAGGCCCTGCCCTTTTGAGGTTATGAACACTCCTAGGACTACTAGTGAGCTATTGAGCTCAAGCTTAGAAGGTAAGTGTATTATAATACTAACTAAATACTCGACCCTTTAAAGTAATCCTTTCAACAAATCAAATATCAATGCTTACTGCTACATTACCTTTCACTTTAGAATAACAATTGATAGAGTTTTTTGCTTTGAAATTTCAATACAATACTAGAAGTACATGTATGTTATTGCATGCAACTATCCTTCATAGCTTAATGCCCACTAAAGGAAAGAACCAACTCATTAGCCACCCAAAACTAATTCATATAAGTCGTTTCTTGTAATATTGAATCTGCACTGTTATATACTTATTTTGTTTTTAAATACACGTAACAAACTGACTTACAATTTTAATCGTCAATGTTGTAACATGTGAAGTGATATAAGATAGTGACCGAAAGAAAATTAGCATTAAATTTATCATTAAAGTTATAATTAAATCATACTTGGTATATGGCAACCACAAGTTCATAGGATACAAGGTCTCTTTCCTTGAGACTGATTATTCACCTGTTAAAACAGTTACCCTTTCCTTAGCTTGCTGAATTAATATGACATCCTGGATGTAGTTAAGGTTTGGTATTTCTATTTAAGAATCAGATTTAATATTCATATTCCAATATTTTTATTTTTATTTTTTTATATTCCAAGGTAATAAGAATGTTAAAAACAGAATTTAACATGAATCCTGCAAAGAAATAGCAAAAAGAAAAAGATACAAAGAGAGAATCACTTCATTGAAAGGGAAATCTAGAGCTCCAGATATTCAAAGCTAAATTCAGCAGTATTTTTTTTTTTTTTTTTGGAAAGATATTGCATTTTACTCCCAAAGTACAATATTTTGGAACAAATTTTCAACCTTTGAACGCTTTTAGATAGCTGGATACCCTGTTCAGTACGAAGTTTAACATATGACAATTTTTATTTAGTGCAAAGTCTTACATGAGACAATCTCACAAATAATAGACTGCTCGTCTTTATCATGGATGTGCTAGAGGAATTTATACAAAACCTACTCTGGTTAAAGTACTTCATGGTTGATTGCGCCAACTAAGATTAGCATCTAACGAAAGAGTAGCTTTGAGCCTTCGATGTTCAGCACACCCGAAGAGCAGAGTGAGCAATTGCTTACATTTTAACGTCCAAGGATGAAATGGATGTAAATTCAAGAGACGTGCTTGGGCCGTAGAATTCGTGTTTCTTTCATTGCTCTCATTCTCTGCAGCCTATGGCTGATAAATATTTGTTATATCTACAACGTATGCAAGTAATGCAACTTGGACAACAAAGAGGAAGAATTGGAAAGCAAAATTAGCAACTACACTACAATTCTGTACTTGCCTATCTACTTTGCTTTCCTAACTGATTTAGATTTTTTCATTTTACGGTTTTTACTATCAATACTTTCCCAGCTGTATCCGCTGGGAATTGCAAATGGGTCTGAAATCAATGCCTCAGGACACTGCTGCGTCTTGTTAGATGATCGACTGCTGTTACTTCGTCTTAGCCACGAAGAAGTTGAAGATGCAGGTGTGGTGCGATTTTCTCCCTCTTCGGAAGCACTATTTCCGTTGCTCAAGAATCTGGGACTTGACAACGGAGTGTAGAAAGACTCGGTTGGTTGCAACTCGACGAATTTAGAAAATGTAATCACTACTCTCACAGTTGGAACCACAGGGATTGCAATCTGCATCATCAAGACAACATTGCATGCATTAATTCAGAGTGGTAGCAATAATTATACAGATGGCAGAAACAATACAGGACCACTAGATTTATACAGCAAAGATGCATACTTGGTTGTTGAGATTGGTACCACCAAGAAAGAAACCAAAAGAAGAAATTCATCACATTAAGATTCGTAACATCCGTGAGCTATAAAGTTCCGAGTCTTTAATTTAAAGCAAATAAAAGAGAAATTAGGTACATGATCACGATTCGTGACCTAAAAACTAAAAACTCCCATCCTTCCGAAAATGAGTCACTTGTTGCAGTATGACAGGATTGACAGCAGAATGTAGTTTGATCGCTTTACATACACAAATGACATACTGAAACAAACTAGATTCATTTCCATTATTCAATATTCATAGCATCTCAAGCTGTTCACAGCCAAGTTTTGAATCAGATCAACTAAACTGTCAGAAACCATTGCAGTTCATATTAATAAGCTGTTCACAACCGGGTTTTCACTTTGACATATAGTTATGAATTTATGATTAATTCCAGTTATGATAGATTCCATAATAACTGGTCTGGATCCACAATAGTTATAGCTAAGAGTTGGCCGAGCCACACCCAAAATGGCCCAGATGCCAACCTGTTCTAGTCATTTGTACAAGGCTGGAAATCTACCTCCCAAATCTAGCAATAGCAGGCCAAACCGCCTAAGACAAAAATGCATTCCGGCCAGGCCACACCCTAAAAGATAGTATTTCACTGCCCAAAATCAAGATGGGCAGGCTTCATCAACACCGGGACAAAAGAAAACTATGGTCTCTAGAGTCTAAACGCCAAATTTTGCTTCTTAACAATGTTTGCAAGATTTTAGTAAAATGAAGAGTCTGAGTAGCATATTATTAAAAAATACAGAGTACTATTTTAAATGTTTCAAAAGCATCACACAAATCATTAAAGTCTGATGCACTCAATTCCCCTAGATCCAGCTTGATGATGAAGACAACTCCTCTCACAAGTCATACAAACCCCCCAATACACCAACAACCTGGAATACCTTGAAAACCAATCTCTCATAAAAAGACATAATCTACATTGGTTGTACAAATAATTACTATAGAGAATGCCACATGCCCACATCATTCCTTAATTTTGGTAGACTATTTCACTCCATCTCAATAATCACAACACACTAAGTACAATTAACAATGGATGGCCCCACATACTTAAGGGGTGACCCACATGCTTAAGGGTGACCCAAGTCCGACATTAAAAAAACAATGGTCCTACAAAATAAATTCCTTAATTATACTTTAATATTTTTTATTTTTTTATTTTGTTTAGGTAAAATTCAAAATCAAACGGTCACATTTCCAAGACAAAAACATCGGATCAAGTGGACCCATTTGGATTACATAAAGCCCAAACAAAGCATTGTTTTGATCCTTCTATATCAATTCATCCACACACACACCCCCACCAATATTCATTCTCCCTAATCTCAACACTCCAAATATTGTAAAAAGTTCCAAACTTCAATTTTACCCTAAAAAGCCTCAAAACTATCCCACATTTCCCAATTATCAATAAATCTATATACTATTTCTATAGATAAAGCAAACCAACACTAGCAAATAAAGAGTATAGTCAAATTATCAAGTAGGAATTATGTAACATGTCCAAAATACCCTCCAAATTTCACATTTTATGAAAAATATCATTTAATACTAATAAAGTCATAATATCTATTATATAATCGGTTGTATTATACGAAGTATTATGGACTCATTGATTCCTTGTAACCTCATTTGGATTACAAAAAAAATAAAAGTATTATGGACATTGATACTTATACTCCCAAAGCAAACAAGACTAGCAGTGATAATTGAATGAAGTTAAAAAGTATACTGTATATACTTGTATATTGGATAATAATTAAGTGAAATGCCAAAAATGCCCTTTTGTTTTAAAGGAAAGATTTTGGCACCCCACTCTTCCCATTTTTCAATAAAAATTAAAATATCTGGTGAATAAAGCAAAGTAAGACTAGTAGCAAAAAAAAGAACAAAGTTCAATATCACTATATCAGCCATCAGGTACTATGAACAGGGTAAAATACCCCCACTGCCCTTCATCTTTACTGTAACAGAACAAGGAGGAAACCTTGCAACCCCACATTTGACATTTCCCAAGTATCAATAAATCTATACTAGTAAGCTCTTTATGAACAAAACAAGGAAAACTAGTAAGCAATGAAACTAAGAAAATTTAGGTTAAGAATTACAGTAAATACTTAAAAGTTCCCTGTAGAGTTCTATCTATCTATAAATCGTATCTTCAAATTATAACACCTAAGGTAGAAGAATAATAACCTACAAAAACAACCTTAATTTTCCCTTCACGCATTACCAACCATCCGTCGAACAAGGGAATCCCAATCCTGGAGGAAACTTGGAAAGTGAAAACCCACAATTTTTAACTAGACTATAAACCAATTGATCACAATCCGAGGTAGTTACATTTGCTTCAATCTCGAGCTTGTTTGTTAGGTTGCTACAAACTTGCACCTCTATTTAGTTCGAAAACACGACACATCATACACACCACTTGATATACCCAAATATCAAACAATGCAAATTTCAGAGATGATTTATCATTTCTTTTAGGTTTTAAGAAAGGTTAAAGCAAGAAAACCTAGCAAAATAAATTGAAATCAATTGTCACAATTGAGCAATTGAAGTGTAGAATCAATAAAAATACCATTTCCCAGTAACACATGACATGACACTGACAAAACTTGACAACCCCAATATTTCCCAATCATCAATAAATCAAATCCACATTAATTAATTTAATTTATGAAAATTGATAAAGCAAGCAAGAAATACCAACAATAAAAACTAACAAAAGTTTAAAAATTAGGTAAAATTATTGTAAAATGCCAAAAATGCCCTTACCTTAACAGGAAATGACCCTGGTGGAAACTTGGTAGTGAGCAACTCCCGCAACCTCCTCACAGCCTTAACCTTATTAGCCAATATATCAAGCAACGGCAACACCTCCTCCGTCTTCAACGGAAAATCATCCGTCAGCCACACCGTCGGCCGCAAACTCTTCACATACTCTTTCTCCTTTGTCTTCACCTCAGCCGAGGATGCCGCCACTACCGGTATCCTCGACCCCTCATTCACTGATGAAGCTCGCCGCCTCTCCGGCACCACCGGAATCCTCGACGCCTCATTTACACTCGAACCTCGCCCCCTCTCCATTACCGGTATCCTCGACGCTTCATTAACACTCGAACCTCGCCCCCTCTCCAATACCGGTATCCTCGACGCCTCATTGACACTGGAACCTCGCCGCCTCTCCGCCACCTTAGACGACGGCGCAAAATTGATATCGACGCTTTTCCTCCCAACCGACACCCACTCTCTCTCCTCCTTAACAAAACTACTATGCCTCCTCTTATCATCAAAATTCAACTCAAAATTCTCTGCCACAAGAAAATCATCTTCTTCATCAAGCTCTAATGGCAGAACTTGTTCATCTCTAGAACTTACTTTCCTCGACCTAAAACTAAACACTACATTCTGTACGTCGAAAACCTTCGCCTTCCGTTCTCCGACGCTTTCAATCTTCTCTTGCCGACGCCAATTTGTGCGGGGAATTAGCTCCGCCTTAGTGACGTCCATTCCCGGTCGGTAAACGCTTGTTTGAGAACAAAACGCCGCCACGTCATCATCCGTCATCGGTGATCCGGCGTTTTCAAAAGCGTCGAAAACTTTGCCGTCGTCGCGGTTGAGAACGATAAGAGAACCTTCTGGAATGTCCTTTTCAGGGTCGCCATCGCCGAGGAAGAGGAAGCTTTGATCAGCTCGTTGGATTTTCATTCCGTCGAATCCGGCGAGTGTTGTGTCGGCGCGTAAGTTTCCGTCGCGCTTCCATATTCTGTCATTATCAACATTAATTTAGCGTTATTAGTACAATCTTTATGAAATTTTAAAGATTAATGCAATCAATTATCTAATTAATTAGTTAATTAATTGGAACTTAATGCTGGTTCAGTTGAACGTTGAGTAATTAAAAAACTTAAATGTTGCAAACCTGTAATTAGGACGAAACTTAAGCTAAATTTGATTGATTATATAAAATTAAAAATTAAAAAAATTGAACTTTATATTCAGTACATTTTTTGTAACGAGATGAAATTGAACCTTAAATTTTCAAAAATTCAAAATTATTTTCCACCAAACTTCATTAAGTCTTGCATAATTGCATTGTTTATAGAAATGTCGATTAAATTAGATTAAAAAATATAACATGGTAAAAATGTAGATTGACTCCAATTACTTTCCACTACACAATTCATGACATTTTTGGTCGATACGAGTACCATTTAAATTTAACATGGAATACATTATACTCTGTACGGGAAGAATGTGAGAGTGTGTAATTTTACGACCCGCAATAACGCCCCAGTTGGTGCAACTAAAATGTAGAATCGAGGAATAGTGATGGAATTACCGGTAAGTATCAGAGGGGGCAATTTTGCCAATAAAAGGAACAAAAGAGGATTCAAAATGAAATTGAATCTCCAAATAAAAATCCCTCATTCTCCTAAGAACAGCAAGTAACCTCGGGAGACGACGGCGCCACTTAGCCCAAGCAGCAAGATGATGATGCTGAACAAGAATCCTGGCAATTTCAAGTTTCCGGCGACACACGGCATCCTGAAGAGGGTTCCACCCGGAGGAGTTTTGAAGTGACACGTCAGCGCCGGCGGAGGCGAGGAGTTGAGCGGAGACGGCGTCGTTTAAGCGGACAGCGAGGTGGAGGGGAGTGTCACGGAAGGGGATATCGTCGCGGCGGTCGAGGAGGGAAGAGATCTGATCGGAGAGTTTTTCTTGGAGGAGTGATTCGGATTCCGAGGTGACTCGGGTCGGGTCGGCGAGTTTCGGGAGGGTTGAGAGGAGGCGGGTTAGAGTGGGGTGGTCGTGGAGTGCGACGGCGTAGTGGGCTGGGCTGTGGGAGTAGGAAGCTGGGTTAATGGGCTGGGCCTGGGCCTGGGCTGATGAAGGATGAGGTGGTGGTTTCGACATTGGAGAGGAGTGAGTGAGAATGGTTAGGGGGTGGAGAAGGGGGGGAAGAAGGAGGTGATAAAGGGGAGATGAGGGTAGTTTGGTAATTTCAAGAGGAGAGAGAAAGGGGAAGAGAGTGTAGAGAGAGAAGTGGACAACACGCAAGGACAGAATGGAAGAAGAAGAAGAGAGGGAGAGAGAGAGAGAGAGCGTCTTTTGTTGAGGATGTGAGAATATCAAATACGGACGTCTTGGATTTTATTTGTCTCTTTTTATTTTTCTTTTTGGATTTCCTTCTATTATGTCTTTTTCACTTTTCTTTTTCTTTTTTTTATTTTATTTTTTATGTTATTTTTTTAGTTATGCATATTTTTTTAGAGATTTTGTAAACTAGAGTCTAGAGGAATAAGGAAAAAGTGATTTGTTTGCCGTTTTTAAGGTTAGCATATTTTTTAGTTTCATATGGACTTTTATATATATATATATTTTTTAATTATTTTTTATTTTGATAGATGTAGACTTTTAAATTCAATTATGGAAAGATAGAGTTAACTACTAAGAGCTTGTTTGACATCGCTTTTTTATTTCAATTTTTTAATTTATTGAAAATAAAAAATCATAAACAAAAAAAAAAATTCCGATAATAGTTTATCAAATAGGAGTAACATTTAACTATTTATATTGAAATGTGAAACAATTGGCCTCAAAAAGAAATGTGAAACAATAATTCCAAAAAAAATAATAATAAATGAATTGGAAATTTATATAGATATTTTTGGAGTCTCAACTAAACTAATAAAAGGTTTAAAGTCTAATCAAAACGAGATCTAATTTATTGAGAATATTATAAGCGAATATGAATATATAACTGTACAATTAATTACACACTAATTTGAGCTTTTATGTTTTGTGGAAATTTATATTGTTCATTAATAACGATTAATAATTTGAGCTTTTATGTTTTGTGGAAATTTATATTGTTCATTAATAACGATTAGATAATGGATACCCTTCGATACACCTAACAAGTTGCTTGTGAGTGTACGTCTTAGCCTATTTGTTCATTAATAATAACGATTAGAAGAAGGGTACCCTTCGATACATTAACAACTTGTATGTGTGCGGTACGCCTTTGCCTCTATGTGTTTATCAAGCTTAGGTTAGTATTAATTAAGAACAAAACTATTCAACGAGGTTAATAATTAGATTATGATGAAAACATAATTATATATGTTAATTTTCCATTGTACTTTAATTGTTTACACTTCTTTATCATTTAATACAATTTTCATCAACCAAATTAGTTGAAAGAATTTTAATAAAGTGCAATTATTTCAAACTTTGAAAGATTGAAGAACATAAATAATTTCTCTTGTAGAATATGTACTCTTAATATTTGTTACACATCAAAATATTTAAAATAATTGCACTTTATTAAAATTTCCTCCAGATGATTTATTTAACCAACAATATTTATAATTTTTACTCTTTTTATATTAATTAAAACATTGTTCTATTGTGTCTTAATTTACCCTCTTTAAAAAACGTACGTACAAAATCACTTGATGTGAACTTTTCAATTATGTAAAGTTTCACCAAAGAATTGAGGTAACCTAAAGCAAAATAATCTCATCAGGTCTAACTCGTGCAAAATAACCTGTAAATTGTCCTCTAAAAAAACAGGTCTCAAATAAAATCAAAGGAGATATGTTCTAATAAATAACACTCCATTTCAGTTAAAGAGTTTGTTATATTTTTCATTGTTCTAAAAATTTACATTAATCTATATAAAAAATATATATATATGATCATGTGAGATATTATTAGATTTGTTATTTTGTTTTCACGTAACATTATATTTATATATGAGTAAAGTTTAAGCTGATGGTTGAGGCTCAGGAATATGTTTTATACTCTATCACTCCCCCTCACATGAAAGACCCTTTGGGCTTGAAATGTGGATGCAACAAAGGCTCACCCATACCTGACGCGAATTAATTCCACTTTGAAGGAGGGGTGGATGAGATTCGAACCCGTGACCTTTATGTCACGCTGGCTCGGATACCATGTTAAAGGACCAACTCAACCAAAAGCTTAAGCTGATGGTTGAGGCCCAGGAATATGTTTTATACTCTATCAAAATTCCCAAAAAAAAGTTTGTTTAAAACGAGTGTAGAAAAATAATTGAAAGGAGGGAGCAAGAGAAAGAGGCCAAAACCTTTGAAAAGAAAAGGAAAAGGAAAGGTGAGGAGGAAGAAGGGTTTTGTCAGGTGGAATGGTAACCAAAGCCAAAAAGAGCCAAAGTTTAAAACAGGATTATTTGTCTGTGATCACCTAGACCATTTCTCCCCTATTACCAATTTCACTCCCTACTATGCTTACACTATAAAACCCATTCTCCTTATTTCACTCTTTCAATTGCTTACTCTTACAATATACAATTTCACAAAATAACAACACGCGTGTATCGTGTCTCTCTACACGTATCATTTTAATTTTCATGTCTGTTAATGTATAACTTCAATACCCTAAGGTTTGATATAGTTTGTAAATATATGTACTCTTTATGTTGAAACTTATCCCATAGAAGTTTGCATATTAGCATTGATTTTTTAAATATTAACCAATATATGATGCAAAATTTTAAATTATTTAGTATGTATCTACTTTATATTGTGTATATATCAAAGCCTCAAAGGTAGTTATATCCTTCTTTTCTTCAAATGGTATGAACTATGAAGTACTACTTATTTTAGGTATAAAACAATTACAAAGGCATGAAATCAAAAATAATATGAAAAATTACTCGTCTATTGGTATGTACTTATATACAAAATAAAAAAATTTAATGTTAGTAAATCTTATAGATTGTTTTAGCAATTAGTATGTGGATATGAAAATTTCATGATTTACATTAGTACGAGTATGAGATTAAAGGTAAAATCAAGTCAAACATCTGTGTTGAAGTTAACTCAAAATGTATGTCCAAAAAAAAAAAATGTGACTCTACTTTTGAAATGGCTGGCCCTATTTGGACTTATAATGGTGGGCCTAATAACAAATATGTAATGGGCTGGGCTTTAAGAAAACCATTATTTATACTTCATATACTACGTATAATAATGTTTTTTTTCCACAATGCACATACGTAGTACGGTCCGTACGGAGTATTAAAAAACGAAGGAAGTAATTATTTTGGGATAAACGTCCTAAATAGATACTCTATAAAAAAAAAATGTGACTCGCATGTGTGTAGTCTTCAACACACATATTTAACTTTTTGAAGAAATATAAAAAAAATTCATATGACAACTGTTTTTAATCGTATGTATTTATTTTACAAAATACTGTTAAATCCACAAATTATACCCGATTAATATACGAGTAGTTGGTCAAAGAATCCCGAGTATAATATAGATAACATGCAATAAGACGTCCAAAATATGAAATTTTATCTCAAAATTTCCTTATTGTTTTAGTGTTTTACTACATTTAACCGAGTGGAATTACATGATTGGTTATTTTGCATCACACTTTCATATTACTATTTTTGGAGTAATGCTCCTAAAAATTTCCACCTAATTCAAATACTTGAACTAACATACATGCATGCAATATGACATAAACTTTTTTACTTGTCATCATTGGTATGCCTAAATTTACCTTTACTCAACGTCTATTTATAAACTTGATAATCAAAGCATATTTGCAACAATTTACTTATCATTTTTCTTTTCTTGCTAATTTGTAAAGCTAGTTTATATAAACACTACTTGCAACGTACAAAATATATTTGAAAATGCCTTCATTTTCTAGCTTGTTTAGTTGCTTCTCAACTTCCACCCATCAAGTTGCTTGTGAAGAAGCATCAGCAAGCCAAAAGAAAACTAGTGAGTCCAAGAGCAACTCTGAGATCAAGAGATCTTCGGTGCCAATTGTGGTGCCTTAATTTTTCCGTGGAAGCAAGATTATCTTGCTTATGATGATGAGTGATGTTCCGACAATTTCAAGGTGTTTAGTCGTTTAGAGATATATATCTTTCATGCAAATTAAGTGTATAGACACCATATCGCGTGTTCTTATATATAATGTGCCATCTTTAATTGTTGCAACATTATCGATTATAAAGCTTTTACATTAAGCGCACATGTGTGCCTACATAATAATACGAAGTATAATATAACGCTCTCCTACATGGCGATACGTTGAAATAGTAATGGGCTAGTTTGGGCTGGGCTGGGCTGTAAGAAAACCTAATATGTATTGGGTTGTTAGAGGACCAACTCAACCAAAAGCTTAAACTAATGGTTGAGGTGCAGGAATATGTTTTATACTTTTTAATACTTGTTGAATGAATGCAACACAGGCCGACCCATACCTGGTGCGAATCAATTCCACTTTGAAGGAGGGGCGGATGAGATTCGAACCCGTGACTTTTGTGTCACGCTGGCTCCGATACCATGTTAATGGATCATCTCAACCAAAAGCTTAGACTAATGGTTGAGGCCCAGGAATATGTTTTATACTCTATCATTGCTCAACCCATTACTAGTACTAACTGATGTGTGCATTGTAGGCATTTGTAGCCCACTGGATTGCTGATAGTTGAACCATTACATGCTACACAAACATAATCACTTCGATTATATTAGCTAGATCCATGTCAATATATAGTTTGAAATAAAATATATTGCATTAGTGCACCTTCCGTTCTTTTTGAGTACTAACCTTTTTTCTAATATTGAATTATAAAATTAAAACGGCTGAAACTTAATACAAGTAGCTATTTTCAAAAATATGGGATAGAACGTCCAAATTTTGATTTTTTTGTATATTATACTTAAAATACATTAATTGTTTTATTACTCGATTGATACGATTGTGCAATCTATAACATACATCTGATACATGATAATATGGGAAAGGGTAGGGATACATTTGGTGTACAAGGGAAAGGAAAAGAAGGATGACCTAGTTCAAAATAAGATTCCTTTTCTACCACTAAAAAGATTGGTGTATAATTTTTTTTGGGTTTTTCTAAGCTATGTCCCCAATTATTGATTTTCTAAGTTGTACCCATGCTTTTTCAAAGTTATAAGATGTGTCATCCACCTCACGATATTTTATCAACAATACCCTTTGACAACAATTTTCGTTAACGAAATTTAAGTCATTTTATCAACAATGGTGTCGTGACGTTATTAATTTGACATGTGTCCCGTTCGAATTGGTTTAACGCTTTAAAAAAAATTAAAAAATCAGAAAATAAATTTAAAAAAAGTTATTATTGTTAACGTCAAAGGTTATTGTTAATAAAAAAATTAGTTAGGTTGAAGGCACAACTTAGACATTAGAAAAAGTATGAGCACAACTTAGAAACCGAGCAAATTTAGGGGCATAACTAAAAAAAAACCTTTTTTTTACACCAAATGTATCCCTAATAACTCCCAAAACAAAAAAAATATACTCGTAACAAAATTTCATATGATAATTGTTGGACGACTTTTATTTCAGCCGGCCCTTCTATTTCATGATTCACCAACTTTGTTTGAGGTTGAAATTTGACTTATCCAGGTCAACTTCAAGAGTATCAAGACTAGTCATCTTGACCGAGTGGAATCATATGATTGGTTGTATAACATCACACTTTTCATGTTACTATTTTTGAAATATTCGTTTATTGTATATTTTCCAAGAAATTTCTACGCAATTCAACAATTCAACATATATACATGCATCATGCCACAAACTTTTATACTTGGTCACCACGTATTCCTAAATTACCTTTTCTCAACATCTCTATATATATAAACTTGAAAATTGAAACATAGGTATCATTTGCAACAACATATCCTCCTTTTCTTACTAATTACTTTGTTAAGCTATATCATATTAAAACACTACTTAATTGCAACAAAAATATTATTGAAAATGCCTTCATTTTCTAGGTTGTTTAGTTGCTTCCCAACTTCCACACACCAAGTTGCTTGTGAAGAAGCATCAGCAAGCCAAGCCAAAACTAGCGACGAGTCCAAGAGCAACTCCGAGATCAAGAGATCTTCAACGCCGATTGTGGTGTCTTATTTTCCGGTGGGAGCAAGATTTTCTCTCTTATGATGAGCAATTTTTTAACAATTTTGAGGCGTTTAGAGATATCATATGGTTTTGGGTAAATTAAATATGTTTTGACACCTTAGCGCGTGTTTTTGAAATAAGGCAACATTTTTCCATCTTAATTGTTGCATCATCATGATCATAGCTTATATATTTAGGTGCATATGAAATATAATATATGATTTGAAGCTCTCCTTACATGGTGGCCCATGACGTTTCTTTAATTCGCTAGAGTATTAGAAGTATTACATTTTTTAGCATCAATAATTTTTTTTTTTTTTTTTTTGACAAAGAGAACAAAAAAAACTAAAAACGTGAACAAATTAAATGATGACAGCGAGCCAGGCCAGCCAGAAAATGAGCATAACCCATCTCCATTCTTGAAACCTTCTGAATATGACAGCTGGAAAAGCTTCTAACAATCTGTCGAATCTCACGTAGTATCCAAATTACAGAAATTGAATCTGTTATATGACGCCCAATCAGATTCGGAACAGAACTGCAATCTGTAAAAACTCTGACAGTGGTGAAGCCTTTATCTTTAAGATGACGGAAGCCCAAAAGGCAAGCAAAAAGTTCAGTATGGATGGCCGATGAAGCAAACCCTGCCTGAGCCCCTCCCCCAATAGACGGAGAAGATAAGTCAGTAGATAAGAACCAACCCATACCAGCACGTTGATCCTTGGATGTCCAAGCACCATCAAAGGCAAGACTAATATCATACTGGGAAGACGGTGGAACCAAACCTAGAGCATGAAGAGAAGAACAACCAAAACCTGGAGGACACGAGGACTGACAAAGATCAGATAACCCTCGAGCCTCCTTACTCCTAGAAGACCAATTAGCAGCAATTGCAAATACCCCAGCAGGAGAATAAACCTCCGAACGGAATAGAAGGTTATTACGAGTTAACCAGACAGCCCACCAAAAAGCTATAAGGTCATCTAAACCATTCTAGTTCTTGGCTGCCGCCAACTCAGAAATAGTAGCAGCTAACCAAGCACAGAAATATCGATCCATAGATAACGTACGAATTGTCTCCAGATGATGAGAAGCTCGCACCAAGCAAGTAAATTCACATTGTTGAAAAATACGAGAGACTGTTTAAGAATGGTGATGACAAAACCCACAGGTAGTATCAACAGGAATACCTTTTAAGGCCAAAACTGCTGCCGTGGGAAGACCGTTATGGAAAATTTTCCAAATGAAGATCTTCCACTTTGGTAAAATCAGAAGTCCCCAAAATTTCTTCCACCAACCCGGAATGACAGGGGCCTACAAAGTACTAACTGCACAGGTATGATTTATCAAGTGAGCATACGCAGATTTAGTAGAAAACGTCCCATCCCGCGTGAATTTCTAATACACGAAATCATCCATTTCTTCACGTGGTCTTTCTAAACCAAGAATAGAATCCGCCACAGGAGGAGGAAAAAGCCACCGGATACGGATACTATCCCAAGCATGGGAAATGGGATCAATAAGCTGCGTTACCAAGGAAGGAAGGCCCACTAGGGGAACTGAATCCTTAAAACAAACGGAAACTCCCGGGACCCAGTTTTCCTCCAGAATCTGGACCCTTTTACCAGAGCCCACTTTCCACATTACCCCCCCTGAGAGAGAGTGCGGGCTCCATATAACAAACTTCGACAACCCCAAGAAGGACGGGAAGGAGAAGTAGTAGTTTTATAGCCTATGACATGAGGATACCGAGCACGGTAAATCCTCGAAACTAAAAGCTGTGGATGATGCATTAAACGCCACATTTGCTTAGCAAGCAAAGCAGAATTAAAAGAGGGTATATGTCGAATTCCCAAACCCCCTAAACCTCGAGGAAGATGGAGAGAAGCAGAAGAAGTCAAGGCCAGACCTCTAGAAGACTTATTAGACTTCCACCAAAATCTAGCTAAGAGACGAACAATACGGTCAGCAATAGTTCCAGGTTACCTAAAAACTGATAACACATGATTTAAAGAAGCTATGACCACCGTATTAATAAGGACTAATTTAGCTGCAGCCGACAAATGACGAGAGCTAAACGCAGACAACTTTTGCATCACTTTATCGACCAAAGGTTGAAACTTTTGACACTTAGCTCGACCTAAATCCACCGAGAGACCCAAGTAAGTGTCAATCGAAGACTTAGCTTGCATTTGCAAAGCAGATCTTAAGAAGTCACGGTAATCTTCCGGAGTATTGGAGCTAAACTTAACGAAAGATTTTTGAACATTAACCATCTGACCAGAAACAGTACAAAAACGATCAATCACTCCCAAGAGCTGCGAACAAGCATCAGGAGTCACCCGAAAGAAAAGTAACGCATCATCTGCAAAGAACAAATGGGAGACTGAAGGAGCACATCTAGATATACGTAAACCTTGAAACAAACCAGTTGTCTCAGCCTTTCGCAACATAATCGAAAACACTTCCATACATAAAAAAAATAAATAGGGAGATAAGGGATCCCCCTGACGTAAACCACATGCCGGCCGAAGGACAGAAGAGGGCTTGCCATTAATAAGGATCTGGTACGAGACCGTAGAAACACATTGTTTAATTAACTGAATCCAATAAGGCGGAAACCCAAAAGCCTTAAGCACATCCCAAAGAAATTCCAGTTAACCCTATCATAAGCCTTGTTCATATCTAATTTCAAAGCCATAGAACATAACCTTGAAGTAGAGGAATTCATATAGGTAAGGATTTCATGCGCAATAAGACTATTATCTGACATCAAACGCCCCGGCACAAAAGCCGATTGTGCCTCTGAAATCAAGAGAGGCATAATTTTTCGGAGACGAGCCGTCATGCATTTAGCAATACATTTATACAAAACATTACACAAACCTATCGGCCGAAACTGAGAAGGAAATTCGGGATGGTCAACCTTCGGTAAAAGGACCAAAAAGGTACGGTTCCAGTCTTTGAGCATATAACCTCGGGCAAAGAAGTACTGAATAGCGAAAGTAACTTGATTACCAACCATCGACCAGTGCGATTCAAAAAAACCAGCAGAGAAACCATCTGGTCCCGGAGACTTATCATTACCAATATGGAAAATTGCATCCTTAATCTCAGCTGCAGTAAACGGAATCATTAGGTGCTGTTGATGTAGGGAAGATAAAGAGAGAATGTCCAGGTCATCCCAAAATCCAGGAATGGAAGGAGCAGGAATTTTCTGACAATTATATAAGTCCGAAAAATGAGCAGTTAAAAGATTCTCAATCTCCAAAGAGTCAAAAATCCAAAGTCCTTGATTATTCTTTAGGCTAAAAATTTTGTTCCTACGCCTACGCTCCTGAACTGAAGAAAAAAGAAGACGCGAACTAGTGTCTCCAAAAGCACCCCATCTCACTTTAGATCTCTGTTTCCAATACAGAAATAAAGTATGAGCTTGGGAAATTTTCTGATCACGAGTCTGAAGGAATTGAGAACCCCTAGAAGCAGATACCAAAGACTGAGCCTGCAATGCCACAGAATCCTGCAAGTCTTTCCAGTCAATACCCCAAGATCTTTTATGTTCCACACACCAACGCATCAAACTATGTCTAAGATGCACCAGTTTTTGGGATAAAACAAACATCTGAGAGCCTAAAGGATTATTATTCCAAACATTAATAATTTTCTTATTGCTACGATTTTGTTAATTGTTACTCCATATACTTGTATGTAATAATATTAGGCCTTTTATAGTATAATGAATTGAACTAATGATAAAATTGTTATGTTGTACCGTTTTGAGAGAGAGAGTTGTGTAGTACTCGGTACATAAACCTGCTTACATAAATAATTTTAATTACAAATAAATACAAATTAATTATATACTCCATATATGATAATAAGCAAACGGAATACGAATTAAGAAGATAATACATCATATACATGTCTGATATAGTTTATTTTGGTCTAGTTACGATAAGAATAAGTAATAAGAATATGATGAAGAGAACAAAACTTAATTTAGCTTATACACTACATTTATTTATTACCTTAAGAAAAATGGGGAATAAGGGCATCGAGGTAATGCATAGGGTCATGAAAGTCGATTTAAAAACATATGATAAGTCGTACGATAGGCTTGTAACTTGTAAGTTGTAACTACCATTAATCCATTTTTTTTTATACATTCTTATAACGTATTATATAGACCTATTAGTGAGCCTTTTATGGGTCCAAACCGAATTATTACCCGTAGAAACCTCTCGCATTAAGCCAATTAATTTTCCATCCAATGCACATCATACATATATATATTTTCATTATCTTTGTACTCAATAAGGAATAGAAAGATTTGCATAAAAAAATATAAGGAATAGAAAGATAATTACCATATTTAATGGTCTAGATGCATGCATATTGGACTTGGTGAGCAAGGCTTTCAATTACCCATTTCTTTCTTAGTAACGCTCTAACTCATCCAATTATAAATACACCTTAAAATAAAATAAAAGCAATATATATGTACAATAATTTATCCTTGCTATTAAGAAATATATTCTTGAAAATGTCTTCATTTTTTGGGTTGTTTGGTTGCTTAACAACTTCCAAATACCAGGTTGCTTGTGAAGAAGTAGCAAGTCATGCTAAAACTAATGAATCAAATAACATCTCCGAGATCAAGATGAAGAGATCCTCGGCGCCGCCGATTGTGGTGCCTTATTTTCCCGTCGAAGCAAGATTTTCTCTCTATTGATCTATGAATGATAACAAGTGTAGGGCATATTAGTAGAGTACTATGGTCTTGTGGGTATTGTAGTGGAGAAGGATTTTTGAAAATTTTTGAGATATTTATTTTTTTGTTTGGAGGAAATTACATTTCGCACCTTATATAATAAAACTCTAAATATATTTAGTTTGAGTATTTAGTTTTTATAGAAATTGATAGATTTTAGAGATATAAGATAATCTATATATTATATATTATTTTTTTTTTTCTTGAGGCAAAATTGATAAATAGTGTTTGGTCCACAAACAAGGCTTAAGAGATTTCATACTAAAATTAATTGACAATAATAGAAGTGACTCATCTACCTAGTGGAACTACCTCTCCCTCTTTCTCCAATGCGATACACTCACAAGTAGGCTATAATGAGTTTCAACAAACCAATCCATTCGAGTGATTATACGTATAACGTATTGTCTATTATTTAATACGGAGTATTATTTTAAATTCATATATTTGGATTGCACTGCATGCAAATCGTGCTGGAATCAAACATACTTAGGGCCTGTTATCTTTAGCTTATTTGCAGTTTAGTTCAGCTCCAATCAGTTGAGTTTTGTTCAGTTCCTAATTTCCTTTTCTCATAAAATATTCTTTTCAGTTCAATTCAGGTCCAATCAATTCAATTCAGTTCAATTCCTAACTTTCTTCTCTCATAAAATATACAATTCAGTTTATTTCAGTTTAGTTCATCAGAATAGGCCCTTAATAGATTACATTTTGATAGAGTATAAAACATATTCCTGGGCATCAACCATCAGTTTAAGCTTTTGGTTGAGATGGTCCACTCATATTATATCGGAGCCAGCATGACACAAAGGTCATGCATCCGCCCCTCCTTTAAAGTGGAATTAATTCGCACCAGTTTAAGCTTTTGGTTGAGTTGGTCCTCTAACACATTTACATATATACTTGAAGTACTTGTCCAAGGTCTCACAAAATACACTACCGTAGTAATTAGGAAAGCTTCAATCGTAGGAACACTCAATATGTGACATAGTACACTAGAACCTGCTAACAACCTATACCTTTTTTTATATATGTATAAAGTCAAATTCTATACCTATTATTGTTTAGAAAAGCTTGTTAATAGGAACTTCAATTGTATGTAGGAAATCGTGAGGTATACTTGGTAGTTCGTACTCCGTACTTTATAATTAAGGACTGATTGATGAGCTAACCTCAATTAAAAAAAACGTTAACTTTTGTTATTTGTTAAAGGATTCAACAATTTAGCCCAATCAATAACATAGTCAAAAGATTTGTCTCTTAAAAAGACTTCACATCACAACGTCGGTGTCATGCATGCATGATTCATGAATTTTAATTTAAGAATAAAAGACTTTTCAAGTATATATGCTTTGGCTTGGAGGCCAAGTATATATTTTTTAGTTGATTAGGACCTAATATCATAGATTATTAGGCACTTCAACATACATTAATATATTAGGAAGTTTCGGGGGTTTGAATGGTCAGCCTATTCGTGCTCATCACTCCTCCTTATTATATAAATACTACTAACCATTTCATTCTTTTGACCAAGATTACAATTTTGCAAATATGGCTTTATTTTCTAGGTTGTTTTGTTGTTTCAAAAATCAAGTTGATTGTGAAGAAGCAAGCCACAAAAAATCCAAGTCAAAGAGCAATTCCGAAATCAAAAGATCCTCAGCTCCTATTGCTATGTCATATTTTCCTGTTGGTGCTAGATTTTTTCGCTTGTGATAGTGCTCGTACACATGATTGATCAAAGGTCGTTATATGGAGAGTCATTGAGAGAGGCAAGGCCCGCCTTTGGAGAGTTATAATGAAACTCGTCTTAAAGGTGGGCAAAATCATCAAATCTAGCGGTATTAATTGAAACTTTTTCTTTCGAGAAATAATACTCGTATCTCTCTAACTATCTAGCTTAGGAAAATGGTCCATGAGTTTATCTGTTAGAGTATATAACATATTTCTAGGTCTCAACCATCAGCTTAAGCATTTAGTTGAAATGAACCATAAACATAGTATCAGAGCTTAAGTTGATAGTTAAAGCCCAAGAATATGTTAGATACTCTATTATTATTTTTAGACTATATATCCTTCTACCATTGTGCAGGAGAAGCTGAGAAAGTGACATAATTGATCAGTGCTTAAAATTATAAGTAATGGTTATTAATGTTAGATTTTTACATTATTAAGAGTTGTGCCTAATAATTGTTTGTAGATGGTGTGCTAAATAGCAACCAAATCAATGGCACACGTTGATAGATCACTTTAATATTGTAATATTCGACGAGATAACTAGTATTATATACTTTGTAATCGTGTATTGTACCGGCTTATGTACTATCAAAATGTAAAATTTGTTAAATTACTATGATCACTTTCTCTCTTTAAATGTATTGATCCATAATCAAATTAAGGGAGTTTTACGCATTAATTATCACACGAATGAGAGATTGATATCGATATCATATTACTCTATATACGTAGTATTAACTTTAAGCTTAATTGAAAGTGAGGGATAGCTCAAGTGGTTAGAGCTTTCTTTCCAATTTGAGGAGATCAATTCTCACCCTTTGGATTTTATTTTTTAATTTTTTAAATTCTTAAAAAAAAAAAAAAAAAAAAAAAAAAAAAAAAAAAAAGATCATTAATTGTCAAAATGATCATATCCTCATATTCTCCTAATATGTAGGCATTGGA